GATGACGTCATTATTATCATGCTTAAAATGAAAATAATTTTTATCGAGTTATTATTAAAATTTGAGTACTTATAAATAGACAAACACGCATACTAAGTCAACACAGTGTCAAAACACAAACGAGAATAGCAACCCACAATGTTCGGACTTGAATATGTGCACGATAAAATATGGAATGACAATGAATAATAAGCAAGAAAAAGCAGAAAGAAAAAAAAACAAAGCAATCACATGTTTTGTATAGGTTCAGATCTTCCGGAATGAAAAAAAAAACTTGAATTCATTTGGGCGGATGTCCTGTAGATCGATACCGGGCCGATTTTGGTTTATCAACATTTAATGATGGACGTGGAATTTTCGAATGGAATGCTGTCGTACTTGTTGGTATTGTTCCAGTAGTATTTAATGCCGGTGGTGGTGATGGTGCCACAACAACGGATGGTGAAATACCTCGTCGTATTGAACCTGTTCGATTTCCATTGTTTAATTTTGGACTTGAAACAATGACTGGTTTATTAGTTGTTGCTGCAGCTGTTGCATTAGCAAATACATTTGATAGACGTGGTCGACGTGCTGAAGCTGCTGCTGATGTTGGTGATTGTGCTCTTACTGTTTGTGGTTTTGACGTTGGTAATTTTGCAGTAACTGCAGAAGCATTTTTTCGTTGTGGTTGTGTTAGATTTGTTTTTGTAAATAAAGAATTTATTTTACGTGATAACGTCGAACGTAATGTATCAGTTGGTTGAGTAGTCGTGTTAGTAGTAGTAGCAGTAGTATTAGTTGTATTTGGTAGAACAATTGGTTGTGTTAAAGTTTTTGATGGTCGTTTTGATATATTCATAACCCAATCTCGTGGACTGTTTTTAGTTGAATGCAAACTAATTGTAGATGTAGTTAATTGTTCTTCAATATTTGCTGGAATAGGTTCGGGTTTATAAACTAAACGAAAAGCAAGCGGAGAAAGTTTTTCTAATTGAGCCATTATACGATCAAATAAATTAAATGTTGTTGGCGTAAAGGTTAGAATTAGAGCATCAGGAGATTGATAATAACGTTGAAGAATTTCTTTTTGTTTCATAAAATGATAAAGCCAATTAATGAGTTCATTCTTACTAGAATACAAAAAATAAAACATTAAAAAAAAATGAAAAGAAAAAATTTTTTTACTTTAATAATGCAAAAATAAATGCTTGAAATTTATAGGGCCAATACAACGAAGCATTTTGAGCAACTTGTTTAGCTTCATAAAATACTTGAAGAGCTTGCCCTAGAAGAGACAAAAAGAAAAAGAAGTTAAAATTTTCATTTGAACATTTATTTATCTTTTTTTTTTTACCATGATCAATCGATGTTTCAATTATTTTCCATACAGTAATTTGTTTAGCTAATGAAAGATCTTTTTGTTGTGGTTTAAGACCATGTTCAAGAATGTTCTGAAGAGTTGTACATAAACCATTTTTAAGTAATGTATCAAATTGAATATTATTTTCATTAGTAAGAAAAAATGTCTAAGGCAGAAAAAGAAAAACAAATAGTTCATAATTAATTGTATAAGAATACTCTTACTTTTCCTGATCGTTTTATTTCGAAGATACGTTTTACAATATCAGTAACTTTTTCGAAAAGACCTAAATAAAATAAATGATTTGAAGATAATTAATTGATTTTCTTTTTTCGTACCATCAAGAAATGGATCATTTGTCTGAATTAATGTGGTTGTTGATGCATTCATAATTAATGTTTGTTCAGGAATTTTATTTTCTTTATCATTTGAAGATGTCATTTTTTCAATTGTTCCATTAGATTCATTAGTATCGACAATGTCAGGTGTCGTAGAAAATTCAACAATTGGTATAATATTCACATGAGTTTTTTCCATAATAGTTTGATCATCTTCATCTTCTTGTTGAGGAGCAAGACTATCAGTTTCTTGTAAACGAAATTCATTTGGTGGACTTTCCGTAAATGAATGTAAATGATGAATACGATCGACAACAATAATATCAGCTTAAAACAACAACAAAAAAAAATAATTAAAATTTCTCACTTGAGAATCAAATAAAATCAATATTTAGTGAAATAACTTACTTTGACATCGACGCATTTCACCATAACGTAATGTTGTTTTTCTTATTAAATTTTCTTGATTTCCATGTAATGCTACAGCAAGTTCATCATTATTTGTTGTTGTATCATTATGCAAATGAAGTAGTTCTGGTGATGGATCAAATTTAATAGCTGGATTACATGGTGAAATAAGATGTTTAGCAATATTGTCTGAAAAACTAACACTTTTTTTTGTATGATATTGTTGTTGTAATGATGTTAGATCATAATCAGAACAATGTTCATGAGATAAATCTTGTATAACATAATTATTTATATTATTTGATGAACCAGTAGTGTGAGTGTTTGGTGGCCAGAGACTATTAGGACGACCTCCTGTAACATCAGCTTCTGAACAACGACGTTTTGTTGTAGGAGACGATGAATCCTAAATTAAGAAAAACTGCTAGTGCAATCCCTACGAAATAAAAATGTGAAAGATGATGTAGCTGCTGTTTTTAATCACAGGGAGATTACTTTATTCTATGTATCTTGGACACCCTTCCCTTTTACTTAATCTTCTATAAATGTAATAAGGAAATAGTTAATATATTGTAACGAGTCGTTATTGGGATACAGTCTGTGAGGACGAATTTCTACCCTACAGAATTCAATACTTCTTTTAGATCATGTTTAACAATATAATAAATATATAAGTTGAAGTTTGTCATAAAACTCGAACCGATGTCATAAATACTTAAAACATCTCTTCTTACCTTATCACTTGTTGGTTGATGAATAGGTAATGTAGGTGCTGGTGATATTCTGTCTTGTAACATAGCTTGAATATCACATGAATTCGCTCTTGGTCCATATTTAAGACAAGATTTAAGATTTGATGTTTGTTGTTGTCGTCCTTTAGGAAATGAAGAAGGTGGTGGTAATTTCATTTTAATTATTGTTGGCCCTTCATTCGGTCCAGTAATAACTGCTGATGCTGGTACTGCAGCAAATGTTTTACGTAATTGTGGACTATAAAAAACCCCTAAAGGTTCAGTTGAATGTTTACTGTTTTTATAACGTTTTATTGATTTAAGTGTACGTGGTCGTTCAGATTCTTGTTTTTGTTGTTGTTGAGTTACTGTTGGAGATGATATCATATTGTTATTATTGGTGAGAAGCGCAGAATTAGGTAGATTTGGTGTTGGTGGTAAAGGTGATGTAGTACGAGATCGAGGTAATTCTTTTGAATATTGAGAAATAAAGGCAAGATCAGGAAGAGATTTATGAATAGATGATGACGAGATAGGTAATGGTGATGGACGCGAAGGGACGGCAAGATGACGAGGTGAATTTGAATCAAAATGTGTTTGGAGATAATTTGTTGTTGGTGTAGATTGAAAACGACTGTTCATTGGACTGTTTGATGAAGAATCTAATAAAATAGATGTTTGTATCGCTTGATCAGTACTGGAATTTGTTTGTGATGATGGTCGATCTGTATGAATTTGTTTTTTTTGATAATAAGATGATTTTGGTTTTTCTGTTATCATTTTTTCACCCGATATTGTCATGCTATCAATATTATTTGGTACTGTTGAATCACTTTGTTGTCGATAAAATTGAAAAGCACTACGTGGTGAAGATGATGTTGCACCTGTTTGTGACTTTTGTTGAAAAATTTTATAAAGACTTATTGGTGATGGTGGTCGAGTTTCTTTTGGTTCCATACCAGATGTTGTTCGTTGACTTTCTTTCATACGTCTCCATGATGCTGATGATGATGAAGATGTTGATGAATTTTGTGAATTATTATTATTTGGTAATTGTTGTTGAGGAGAAAATGATGTTGGATGAGATTGTGAACGAATAAATGTTACTTGTTGATCCATTGTTGGCGTTATTGATGTTTTATTTTCACGATGTTCAATAGATTGTTCTAATGTATTGAATGATGAACGCATTGACCAATCATTCATATTATTTCCTATAGTTGGAGATACACCATCATCAGAATAATTTGAACTTGATTGTGAACTATAAAGAAAAAAAATATCTTACAGAAATTGTTTTCGAATTGAATATTTAGATTTACTCTGTTGTTCGATGTTTATGATGATGATGATGATGATGATGCCGATGATGATGTTTATGCCGATGAGATCTATCTGTTTTTGATTCAGGTTGTGGTGGTTTATCAGTACTAAATGTTAAACGATAATTAGCTCGTGTATCATATTGATCATCCCATGTAAAACCACCCTCTTGATCATTATATAAACTTTGATCATTGACTGATGGTGTTTGTTGTTTTTTCATATCATCATTTTCGAATAATTCACGATGATTTAAAAGACTATCCATAGATAAACATTCATCATTATAACCAGCTATAGTACTTGTATTATTAGCTAATGAAATACTTTTAACAAGAAAATTATCATCTGGTATATCATCGATAGTCATTGTTTCTGATGTAACAGCTGAAAATGATTTTGTTATAAGTTCTTGTCGATTACGATCACTTAATATTTCATCAAAATTATCTAAATCAAGTGTATGTTTTTCGAGATTTTTTATAAGTTGTTCAACATTTTCGAGATGAGCAGCTGAAGATAGTAAAATGGGATTAATCGTTGAATCGTTCATATTTGCAGTTTATCTATCGTTGCTTCTTATTTATTGTTTTAATTTGACGATTGTTCGAAGTGGCAAAATGGAATGACATGAGAAGTGATGAGACCACGGGTCTAAAATATTTAAAAAAAGAACTTATTATCAAAGTAATGTTCATTTCTATTTAGGAATAGAAAAATAAATCTATTCTTTTGATCTAGTTACAGAAAACGAAACAAAAAATAATCGTGTATATTCTTCTCAATAAAAATAAATAATATACAAAGAAAAATTGTCAAATATAAAAGAATCTGTTTTCTTTTAAATACACAAAACATTTAATTAAAATCAATTAAATTCGATTCATTTGTCTCTGATGATGGAAGATGAGGATATGAATTATTTGCTGATGGTATTAAAGGATCAAAATCTATTGATGATGAAGAATGAGAATTTTGTTCAGCAGAATAATCAGGCTTTGAATTAAATTGAGTATTGGTTTCATAATTTGATTGAATATTTTTCACATAATTTGTTGGTATTGTTTCAGAAATAGGTGAATGACAATTAAATGTAACCATATCTGAATGAAATATCATGGGTTTTGTTTTATTTACATCATTTGAATTATTAAATGGATCAAATTGTTCAATAAGTTTGTTGACTTCAGTTTGTTCTTTATCATATTCATCACGTGGATCAATAGGTTTATTGTTGAATGTTTGAACTTTAGATTGAAGTTCATTTTGTAATTGTTTTATTTTTGAATTTATTTGTAATTTTTTTGAACGCGGAGTTTCATGTATTTTATTTACATTTGATTCCATAGAGAATGGTAATAATGGATTCTAAATAAAAATATGAAAAAAGAAAATAAGAATTTGATTGTACTTCGTCTATATTGAAATCGATTAATTGATTGGTTTTATCTTGATCAAATTTAGAAGTTGAAGAATGAAATAATGAAGATGATCTATTAAATATTTCAATATGATTCGATAGAAAAAGGATTGTCTTTGTTTTTTCTTACTCATCATTTAAGAAACTCGATGAATTTGACTGAAAGGATATGTATGTAAAAATTATGAAAAGTTTTTTTTTTTGTATTTATTTTACCTGTTGAGCTGTTTGATGATTTGATTCGACCTGAATAAAAACAATTTAGAAGAATAAAAATTCAATAGAATTTTTACTAACTGAATCGTCAGTTTTTTGTTGAATGCTATTGTTTATCTAATAGGAAACAGTTCTTTTTAGTATTTTAATGTGAAATTATCAAGAACTTACATCAAATGATGCGTAATGAGTTTTTACGGATGAATCTTCATTTGTAACTCTTTCTTCAGGTTTATCTATCTATATAAAAAATAGTTATGAAAGGTTGGTTTTATGTGTTATAACTCATCACCGGTTGTAATTTTTCAGTTTTAGTTTGTATTTGTTCAGTATCTGGATTGGTAGTCTAGAGAAAATTTTTTTATTATTAATTATTGAAGTGATATGGTTGAGCAACACAAGTAAAAAAAAGCAATTGAAACATGTTGGGTAGACTTTATTTGTTTTATTGATGAATAATTTTTTGTTTTTTGAATATATTAGTACTCGTGTTTGTCTGGTACATGTTGTAACAGCTGTTCGTGTTTATGTTTTGAAAAATTATCATATGGATTATTTTTATTTTAAGAAAGAAGTTAAAAAAACACTGTAACTTACTCTATCTGGAATTTGGTAGATTTTTTTGTTGACATTAGACTACAAGAAGAGAAATTGATTATTCATTGAAATTTCAGAGTTTGGACAATTAAAGGCTAATGGTTTTCATAATAGATTCTATCGACTACGACAGATCATATAAACAGAATAGTCTACAACTGATCTAGTCATGGTGCTTTAAAGTTATCAAAACCTGAAAAAATGTCTTATTTTCACATCACTTCTTTTGTAATTATTTAAATTCATTTACAAACAACTAAATCGATTTTTTTTTCTTCAAATAGATAATAGCACCATTATTTTCTTCTCTCGTTGTCATATTGCATTATTATTGACGTCAAAATATAACGCAAGTCAATGTTTTTTGAATAATTTTCGATAGGAACAAGATATAGAACTGCAGATTTCACTATTTAAAAGAGAACATCACATCAGCTCAAAACTGATTAGTCCAGCGACTGACAAAATAGGTGAGTTTTTTGCGGAAATATTTTGAAAATGGTGTTCTAGAAAACTATCCAGTTGCATTTCAATTGATGATATGATCATTCGATAGGAAAAATTGTTCTCTTCCGACCCACACCAAGCCGACGTCTTTTATCTTGTTCTATCAAAGAGTCCAATGGGTTTTTCGGAGATCCTCGATTTCGACCTAATGACTTTGAAGCACTCGGAAAGATATCAAGAAAATGCTTATTTATCATGCTCAGTCGAATGGTAATGTTTGTTTTCAGTTTCAAAACGCTCTGAAATCATCATAGCAAGATTTTCAAAAAAACAACTCTGAACGGTATAGCAGCAAAATTTGACATTTCGAAAATCTTGTTATAACGATTTGAGATTGTTTTGAAACTGAAAACAACCTTTACCACTTGACTTAGCGTGATGAATTATCCTTGTCTTGATCTCTTTCGAAATGCTTCAAGATCACGAGGCTGAAATTGAAATGTTTGAAAAACCCTTATAACTCTTGAACAGAACATGTTAGAGATGTCATCTTTGCATGGATCGAAAGAGAACAACTTTTTCTATCGACATCTAATGAGTCAACTGCTAGACCAATTAAATTTGAGCTGATTTGATGATTTCCGATGTATTCTTTTGAATAGTGAAATCCATAGGTCTACATCTTGCATGAGAAAACCCTCGTCATAAACTTTTGTCGGGAAAATCTTTATTTTAAAAACTAACAAATGATACATTATTCGATGCAACTTTTTGTGCTGATTTCAAATATGTTCTTATGTTTGTTTCTTTTAAAGTACATCTGAAACAAAAGAACGCCTAACACCTTTAAAAACAAACGATTTTTAGGAAGTTTTGTATCTCATTTCAGAATAGATATCGGTATGACGATTATTTTCTGGTCACGACCACAATGGTTACGATCGTGACTGTGACTCACAAAAGTTCTATAGGTTGCATTAGTGTGACCTGTTACAAAGCAACTAATCATACCAATAATATACAAAAGTACATCGACTCATATCATTGAAGTTCTCCTTTATTCGACGAGCAAAATAAAAATATTTTGATTCGATGAAGAACAACTTGAATAATGTCGTACGCAAACTGAATGATGAAAGTTACGAATGCATTAGATGAATTCATTATTTTCGATACTGATTCACTTGAGACTTTTAACAGACTAGATCTTATAAATTTCTTTCGGCGTGCTCTTGCTGTTGGTCTTACTCTATTCAAATCATCTGTTATTATGATATCAGATTTAGTTACAAGATTTTAAAAGAAGAACATGAGCTAACTCTTGATACTAGTCATGACTAAATTTTGGTCACGGTCACCAAGTTTTTTTGAAAAATCCATCATGGTCATAACTATGATTTAGGACAGTCATGACAACCTGTACTTCGAAAACATTTATGCATCTTTATACTAACTCAGTAAGCTTGTTAGACGAAAAAAAATATTCTGTGAAAGTTTCATCAAGTTTGAAACTGTGCTAAAGTGTGCGCACTAACTACCCTGAACGTGAATTTTTAGAAATCCTTAGTTGGGAAAGCATGCATACTTTTTCTAACAGAAAAACTGTTAGAACAAAGTTTGGAAATAGAACGGTACAGCAAGAGCTTCATGGTTTATTCCGTAAGTCTTTCTACTCTTTTCAGGGTTTAGGATTTTTTCAAACTCTTAAAGAGCTAGAATATTTTTTTCTAAGCTTAAAAGTCGGTCATTGACCAAAGTGTATTGAATATTATACAAATTGCAAAAAATATGACTGCCATTTTTTCATCAAATGTTCATGTTGTGGCTCACTACTTATTTTTCCAAATTATCAATAATATGTTAATAAAATAAAAGAACTTATCAAAAATAGATCTAGTTCAATCCGATGAAATGTATTCAATCTTTTTTTTTCATACAACTTACTCTTTTTGATTGTTGACTTTGTTCAAAACTTTTTACTTCAATATCAAATTCATCAACATCAATATCAGGATGAAGTTGTAGATAAGTTCGATGCCGAGAAAACTTAAATTAACAATAATCAAATATGTAAAAATCTTTTTTTTTTCTTTATTACTTGTTCAAACATTTGTGTATTAACAACAGAAGACATAAACATATTTAAATCAGATTTTAAATATTGTCTCAAATAAACATTTCTATCGAAATCTAATTGTTCATTTTTTAATACAAATCCACTTGCATAATTTCCTATCAACAAAAACAAAACAAAATTTCTATTAATCCAATTTCTCTTACTAACCAAGAATAGATGCCATAGCTCGAAGAAAAATTCTTGCTAAGTGATCTTCAATAAATTGTGATGATTGTTGAATATCTTTTTTCATATTACGTATTAAATGTTTAGGAAATAAATTCAGATCATCATATTGTGATTCAATTTTTCTATCATCAATATTTACTATTACTACATCACCTAGTTCTTTTTTATTCATTCTCGAATAAATACTTGAATGTATTCCAATTATATATGGTGCTGTACATTGTGCTGTCCATGTCAGAGATTCGGGAAGAATTGGTAAAAAAATACTTTGCCTGAATCAAAAGAGAAAATAAATTTACTTGTTTTTAAATAAGTTTGATTCTTACCAATGCAATGGATTAATTAAATGTAAACATCCACAAGCACATGCTAAGAAAACAAAACTTATAAAAATAAATTTTGATTGAAAATTAAACTAACCAGTTAAATGAAAAAGTTTTGATGAAATAAATAAAATTCTTCGTTCAAAAATTAAATGGGCAAAAAGACGTAGAGTCATATCTGGACCCAATCGAGAAAACATTATTGTAAAATTGCTCTGAATAATAAACGTTGCTTTTTCTTTCTTTTTCTTTTACTAATTATTTTATTTTAAAATATTTACATTAGATGATATTGAAGGAAGTTTACGTTGATCAGGTCGAGGATAACTATAAACCTACATAATTTCAACATAAATAAAACATTTAATAATATTCATTATACTTTTGAAAGATTATTAATTTCAATCATTTCTTTTCCTCCACGTTTATAAAATTCTTCAATTGAGATTAATTTATAATTATATAATGATGATAAAAATGTTTCAACTTCTGCGACCTTGAAAAAAACAATAACCAAATTGCAGTATAATAATAAAAACATACTGATTGTGTATTAATTATTTGTGATACATCATTAAGAATATTACAAAATATTTCAAACCATGGATAATAACTATCGCAAAACAAAAAACATTTTATTTATCTCAGGGAAATTTTTAGATATTCATACCTCATTATACATAAACAAGTAGATTCTCGATTAGATCGACGACAATATCCGAAACGGAAAATTAAACTTGTTGAATCGAGAACAACAAATGTAAAATATTCACTTTGATCATCGCTGGAAAAAAATGATCTATTTATCTATCTTTCTATTATTGAAACAAAAAAATAAATTTTCATACGATGGAATTTTACAGGGATATGCAAAATTAGCAGCTGTTTTAAGTATTGGATCTGAGAAATCATTTGGATATTGAATTAAAATTGCAGGTGCTAAAATAAATTTATATTTTAATTTTTAAATATTTATAAAAAAAAATAGACCTACGTTCGTTATTAATCGATTGATGAATTTCAAGAAAAACTTCAAAGAGATGTTCAGGTGATTGTCTGAATAAGAAAAATTAAAAAAAATAATGAAAAAAAATCATTGACTTTATCACTTAATACGAGATTCAATTTCTTTTGTTACTAAACCGGAGGCCATCTACACAAAACGTAACATGTATTATTGTAATCAATAATTGTTAGTTCAGGTATATTTTTTACCTGTTGACGTTGAGTTTCCGTGATAAGTCATACCTTTCTCTAACTAAACAAAAATTCTTATTGGATAATTCATAAAAGCCAATAAGAAAATAGTTTGAAGACTCTTGAAAAGAAAGAATTTACTAAAATAAATATTTTTTAAAGTGAATTTTAATTCTTAAAGAATTTTAAAAAAAAATCATGCAAACATTTTTATAAACAGAAATAGTGATGAATCATTACTGAGAATAAATAATGGCGAATACTTGTATCGCACCGTAGCGTAACGAGAAATCTTTGGGTGGTTGAGTACTGCTCTATTACGTAGTTTACGAAAATGTGTTTATGATTATGAAGGTTATTTCTTTGTTAGAAAACAATAGTGTCAAAAGCATATTTTTCTTTCAGAAAAAAAAGTAATGTTACATTTATTTCGTTTATCATGAATCTCCAAATAACAAATATATAACATTAGTAATACTACAAACAAATATTGAAATAAGTAATGGAACAGGCGTAATAATCAATTTTTAATAAATTATTACAAGGAGTGAATCTTAACTAGAAGTTTTATGTCGTCGAGAACTAGAACACTCTCTATCTCTAGTTAACTTAAGTTCATTCTTTCTCGAGTCGATTCAATAAATTCTTTATCAAGAATGTCTAAAACTGTAATTTGACTATTTGTAAATCGAATAAACTTTATAATTTGAAGCTATCTGTTTATACAAGGCACTATACTTATATTCACAGTAAATATCAAAAATCAGTCCATAAGCAAATTGAATTTGTTTTATTTGTACCTTTGAAAATCAATATGTGGGATGCTTTTCATTTTTATTGTATCTTAGAGCTCGTGTATGATTTATAGGAATCTTGATTTTTCTTTAGTTAATTTTTTTTAATTATTTTAGTGGATAATAAATGCATTGTTTTGGTTGGCAAATTGCATACGATAAGTTCAAATAATCGATATTAGAAGAAATTAGAGAAAAAAAAAACGAATTATCTACAAATAACTTATTCAGGTCATGTTATCATGTGAATGCTAATGGTGGCATCAGTTTGATAAGCTCATTTGTTAAGCAACAACTGCTTTTAATTGACATTTTTATTTGTAAAAATTCATCGTTATTTACTCAGAATATTCAACTTCATGTTTTTTTGTTGCAGATGAGCCGAAAACCAGCTGAATAATAACACATATCTTGTCTTTGTCATCTCGATAGATTCTTATGAAAGTGTCGACCCCATAAATTCAGCTTCTCAAAAATGTGTTTGCATGTCAGTTGTAACACATGATTACAGGAATAATTTACAGGTGAAACGACACCCTACTAGTGACTGCTAGTACAACTGAGTTCATCTTTTTTAAGAAATAAATTGTAAGATGCTTAATCGATTAATCCTCTGTTTGTGTATTCAAAAGTAACGCTTTAAAGATTCTGCTTGAATTATTGAATACATAAAACAAAAATTCAAGAATTTGTGAATATCTTTAATTGAAATATGTTTCTTTCATAAACTGATATAATTATCTTTGTCAAATGTGATGGTTTTTTCATAGATATCAATAGATAACTTTACATAAAGTATTGTGTTGCACTCTAAAGAACACTTGAACTATTTCTTCATGAAAAAAAGAAAGAGTTCGAAAAGAATCAAACAAATGTTAACAGAAGATATCTTCATTTCTGAAGAGACTAGTGACATCGACATTAGTACGAGTGTGGTTGTAAGATAAGAGTACACCGTCAACTTCACGCCAAGGCGTTTGTTTTTTATCAATTCTTTTCTACTTTAATTCTAAGCTCAAAAAAAATTGAAAATAAATGTAAACTGTAAAGGATCTTCTTTCTCCAGATAGATACGTGGTATTTCCTCGATAATTCGATCAAAATAACCTTTGAACTAATCTCAATACACTCATGAAATGAAGAAATCTTTTTCTTCATGTTCTAAGATTAAGATTAAACATCTATTGATACAATACAAGAAATCTGCAAATATAAAAGTGATTCATTATTTATCTATCCAAAAGATTGAGAAAATTGACTTTCCTAATATCAGTCGCAAGAAAGTTAGACGAAATAAAAAATTAAGTACACTTTTTCCTAATCTTATTGGCTCGAAAGTGATATGGTTCTTAGGTGATTTGACTTGAGATATGCAAGATCAAGTTTTTCTTTGATTCTAGTCATAAGGATTTCGTTTCTAGTGGCCGCAATCTCGATCATGGCTCCAATCTAAACAAAATAACTTCAAAATATGCTTGCAAGAATTCTGGAAAAATTTCAAAAGTCTGTTTCTTTGGTTATATTAAGTCATTTGATACGATACTACCTGGTCATCTCTTTTTTAGGATGCAATCGAACATGTAAAATATAATCTTTGGTTTCTGTTCTGATACCAGAACATTTTCAATTTTACCATTTACAAGTCTCCGAATCTACCCAAACTAATTACAGTCTCTGCTTCTTATACTTTCATATTTTGTAGTTTTTAAATTTAAATAAATAAAGTCAATGATAATCTTGTGTTGAATTATATCTTTAACAATTTTTCAATTGATTTCTGATATCTAATTGTCCTAATATTATATATTATGAAAGAGCACACTACATGATACCATTGAATCATCATTTTATCGTATATCTTCAATGGACAATCAAGTTCTTCATATAATTTGTGAAAAAGTTTCACCTCGAATTCATCATCAATTAAGTAAAGAATTAATCAGTTTAAATTTTTGTCACTTATTTTGTTATCGAAGCTTATCGATTTGGTTTTCTAATCGATCAACAAAGATAAGTTTGCATTAAACTTTAACTAAATTCCAAATCAATGTCGCGGCTTTTGATGATTGTCTTTATCTTCTTGATAGTGACCTCCATTGTTTATCAACACTAATTACGCATGTTACGAAACCTTTGGATGTGGATTTGGATATGGGTTGACTGACATTTTTACGTATGGCATTTTCGCACTGACACTTACGCGCAAAATAAACTTTTGTTCTGTTCTGATTATGTTAACTTACATGTGTGGATGTAGTTAGTGCGACTCTGGGTGTAG